CCTCCTCCTCCTCCTCCTCCACTTCCTCCTCCTCCTCCTCCTCCTCTCCTCCCCTCACCTCAGCAATCCGTTGATGATGCTGGGGACGGAAGTCGAGGAGGAGCGATCCCTCCACCAGATCTCCGTTGACCTCTCGACGAGACCTCGGGGCAGCCTGCCGATACAATGGAGGGAGAGGAGGGGGGGACGAGGACGAGGACGACGAGGAGCGAGGAGCGAGGAGCGAGGACAAGGATGACAAGGACGAGGACAAGGATGACGAGGAGGAGGACGACGAGGAAGAGGAGCGAGGAGGAGGAGGAGGAGGAGCGAGGAGGAGGAGGAGGAGGAGGAGCAAGAAATGTGACCGTGAGCAACTTATCAGACACAGAGGAGACAGACCTGCAGCAGAGGTCGCGTGCTTGTGGAGGTAGAGGAAGAAACAAATCCAGCGTTCGGGTGGGAGAGCACAAGGTCAGAGGAAGGGGAAGCATCGCAAGGAGCGAAGAAGGAGAAGGAGGAGGAGAGGGTGAAAACTGGCGGACGGCGGTCGTTGTAGGGAGGGAAGAGAGTAGTCTGAAATCAGCAGGTGAGAAAAGCAAAGGAGGATATGTGACATTTGTTAGACATGTAACATTCTGACATCTTTGCGTTGTCGTTCAAACATCGCGGACACGTCCAACATCTCAAAGATACAAGAGATGAGACCTCCTCACATCTGCAAACTATCTGATTGCATACAAGAAACATGTCCTCTAGCATAGCAGGTATGATCGAAACGTCAATGCCCTTCGACGTGTCTCCTCCATCATTGCGGGATAGACAATCTCACCTCAACATGTCGAGATCCCTTGCGCCAGCATGTCATCGAAGGGAGAGAATGACAAAGTATTCTATCCTCTCTTTCTATCCCCAACAAATCATTCAACCACTCTTCCTGCACGTTGAAGTCCTGAACACTGTTCGACATGTCAGGTGCTGACGAAGACAAGAGAGAGAGAGAAGGAGCAATCTGTGTGAGTTGTGTAGCGTGAAGAAACAAGAAATTGGCAGCAAGGGGCGTGAAAGTGAATGATGTCAAGTGTACAAGTGAAAGTTTCGCCAGATTCAAACGAACATGCGACATCAACAGGAGAAATCAGACGAAACCAGCGAACTGAGACACATACAAAGTCACGAGATCAATCGTCATCAAGACAGACAAACAAGTCAAGTCAAGTCAAGTCAAGACAAGTCAAGTCAAGTCAAGTCAAGTCAAGTCAAGTCAAGTCAAGTGAAGACAAGTCAAGTCAAGTCAAGTCAAGTCAAGACAAGTCAAGTCAAGTCAAGTCAAGTGTTGTATCCTCACCAAAGGAAGATGATTGTCTTGTTACGATGGCGAGCAAGCGCCATCTCCGTGTAGCATCGGATGTTCAGCTCAAAGTTGCGGCTGAGAAAGGCTACAAGGTAGTCGCATCTCTCGATAAGGTCGCAGAAGCTCGAGGACCTTCTGTCGTCTGCCACTTGCTCTCCTCGAGCCGCCAGCAGCTGATAGCAAGTGAGGGGCAGGAAGCGGAAGAGGAGAATGGAGGGGAAGAGAAGAGAGAGGAGGAGGAGGGGAGGGGAGGGAAGGGAAGGGGAGAAGGAGGGGAGAGAAGGAGAGGAAGGGAGGGAAGAGGAGGAGGAGAGGAGAAGCAGAGGATCAGGTGAGCAGCGGAGCTGACCTGCCTCACTTGTCTTGCTACATCAACATCAACATCGTCGTAGACGAGGAGCGCGCCGACATGTTCCTCCACCATGCCCCTGTGCCGCTCGCCGCTGAGAAGAAGTGCTCCGATCGCGTTGATGCAGGAGGAGGAGGAGGAGGAGGAGGAGGAGGAGGAGGCGATGGAACGGAGGGCCTTGAAGACTTGTTGTCTCATAAGATAGGAGTCTTTCCATCTGAGGTGCGAGGAGCGCAAGAACTCCTCCGACTGACTGTCCTGGAAGATGCGGAGGGAAGGGATATCTTCTATGACGGGGAACCTCACTGCTCTCCTCTCCTCCATCATCCGCCGGACGATGAGAGAGAAGGTCTGGTAGTTGACCGTTTCCCTCCCTGCTCCTGCTCCTGCTCCTGCTCCTGCTTCTGCTCCTGCTCCTGCACCCTCCTGCTCCTCAGCTCGTGCGTCCCGCGTTGCTTCCGCTAACCTCTCCTCAAGGTCCCTTGGCAGAACTGCGAGGCCGACACGATGGAGCTGCTCCAGCATACTAGAGGTGTCAACGGCACCCGAGTCGTTTGCCTGCTCCCTGAAAGTTTCGTCGATGAACTCGCTCAACGCCATCTCCCACGCGTCCTTGAACGAGAGTCTCTTCTTCATGCTCAACATCGTGTAAGCTCTTTCCTCCACGACATCGTGCGGAGGAGCAGGAGGAGCAGGAGGAGCAGGAGGAGCAGGAGGAGCAGGAGGTTCGAGATCTGTCTCAGGAGCAGTATTGCTTCTCAGATCTTGGTAAGTGCACTTGATGATGTAGGAGAACACTTCCTCGTCCTGGCTGCTCCTGTCCCAGACGCAAATTTCTCTCCCACCCTGCTCCTGCTCCTGCTCCTGCTCCTGCTCCTGCTCCTGCTCCTGCTGCCCAAGCTCCTCCTCCATCTCCAACTTAAGCTCCTGCTCCTGCTCCCCCTGCTGTTTCTGTTCCTCCTCTTCCTGAACACGCTTCCGCTGCCGAATTTTCTGCTCTTGGTGAACGCGCCCGAACACTTGCTCCACTTCTTCTTTCTGCTCTAATCTCACCATGACCATCTTCACTGGCTGCCAGTCCCATCCTATCACATACACAGCAGCAGGAAAGTCGTGCAGTGCAAGAGGAGGAGTCTCTGGAGGACGAAGAAGAGCAGGAGAAGCAGCGGGAGGAGAAGGAAAAGCAGTAGGCTGAGGAGGAGAACTAGGAGAAGGAGGAGGAGAATCAAGAGGAGGAGGAGGAGGAGTTCGGTTCTTCCTGACAAGGCCCAGGACGTGAGAGGAGCAGAGGCGAGGGGAGCAGGCGAGCATCTCAATCCTGCGCACAGAATCGCCGATGCGCCCAAGGAAGTCCCAGGAGCTGGCGGAGAGGAAATCGAGCAGGTCATACTCCGTGACCTCGCTGCTTGACCGCAGGTTCTTCCCCCGAGCACTGAGACCGTCCCTGAGCTTCATGGCTCCTTCAAGGCAAACTGACGCCAGCTCCTGCACGAGGCCCGGGCTAGTCCCTTGGGCCACCTCCGCCATCCAGGAGGAGAAGAAGGAGGAGAACTGCTGCGGGGTCAGCCCAGTCTTCATGTCTCTGTGCTGCTTCTTGACTAGACGGAATTGGCGAACGAAACTGTCAGTGAACTGCAGGAGGTTCAGGTTGGAGAGCCGTCGGTCCCATATGACCGTCATGGTTCGGATCTCAACGATCTGCTGCAGATGATCTGAATGGAGGAGGGGTAGACATCCTTTGACTGGTTTCCCTCCAGCAGAGGAGGAGGAGGAGGAGGAGGATGAGGAGGAGGAGGAGAAGACAGCATGCAACCTAGATCCAGCAGGGATCTGCCTGCGATCTGAAACAGGCACGCTGTCGAGGAGGAAGTAACATCGTATCATGCTATCTCCTGCTTCTCTCCCGTACACCTTGGGCGGATCCGCAACATCAACATGCTCATCTTGCAAGAACTGCCAGAAAATTCTCGTCAGGCCTCCCAAGGTTGCAGACTGTCTGGTTTCCTCGTCCTGCATACAAAGTCATCACAGCTACCTCACAAAAGGGAACGTCAGCGGACCAAAATCAATCGCTCGACGAAGTCCAAGATGCCTTTCCCTCTGATTCGATCCCTGTTCCACCTGCTCCTCGTAGCCTCGACCATGGCGTTCACGCACCAACATCTCCGTTCGCTGTCGTCTTTGTGCAGGAGGAACATGTCGAAGAACAGGCGCGTCAGCAAGTCCAAGATGTCACGACGACGGACAAGACACATGTAAGACGGCCATGAGCCCGCACAGAGCAGCGACAGTCCCATCGTCGACAACTCTTTCACTGCAGACGACTTAGTTATGACTAGGACTCTGTACATCAGTTCGTTCACACGACTCTTCTTCAAGGCTTCCCGGCTTTCCTGGTGGCAGCACAACACAAGCAGAAGCTCAATGGTTGCTTTCAATTTGATCTCTCCCGTCTTCTCCTCCCCCTCGTCCACCACAACCCCAGCAGCACACCTCCCCAGCAGCTCGCACACCTTTTCCAGCAGGGTGTTGCCCTTGGACAGGAGAAACCTTGCAGCTGGTTGATAACACTGACAAACAACTTTCATGAGCTTCAACAAGGACAACTGAACTCTTGACGACAAGTCAATCTCATGCATGACCGCGACGACATCTCGGAACGTGCCGCTCTCCACAAACTCACACGCCCCGTCGTCGTTGTCCCTCAAGACGGCAAAGAGACAGTTTGCTGCCCAGTGCTGCAGGTTCACGTCCTTGGATCTCAAGAGCTGAGCAAGAAGAGGAAGACAGGAGAGCTCTATGAACAAATTCTGCCTCCTCCTCCTTATCTCAACGTCAGAATGCCAACTTATCGAACAAATCTGAGACAGTGTGAGTGGAGAAGGAAGTCATCACATACTTCACCTTGCTGAACAAACTCTCTCTAGCTATCTGCCTCTTCCCGTCCTTCTCTTCAATCTTCGCCATGATTAATGGCATCCACTTCCGCCGACCCGAGTCGATCGCACCCATCACGAAGCCTTCATTGCCCTTCAAAGAGCCATGCACGCATTCAACAAGTTTCCTCGACCAGTGAACGATCTCGAGGAAGACATCACAGCCCAGCTCGAGAAATGTCTCCATGCTCAGGCAAACATAGCAGGCCGCAGCCTCCACATCCTCCTCCCCCCGCATCCGCTCCCACCACCTCCCGATCTCCCTTGCCGCCCTGCCATCCTGTTCTGCATGTACAGATGCAGCCCCGGCAAACTTGAGCAAGAACACGTCCAGCACTTCATGTCGGAAGGTTCGAACCAGTCGCTGGCATCTCTGAAACGTGTGCGTCCTGACGTCCATGTTGGCTTGCATCCCAACCCACCTCCCCACAGCCGACACCTCTGCCAGGGGTTCTGCATGCTCCGAGCTCCGTTCGACCGTGTCGACTAGCCATGTGACAACCTCTGCGACTGAATTTTGTTCTGACATGCTGTCTATGACGTCTTCAAATCATTTCTCGTGGTCACATCGACGCCAGAACAACCTCTCGACAACTTTGGGATAGTGGAGTGAAGACTCTGAAACAGCCTTGTGGAGCATGCAAGCTCCCATGGTTCCCACCAGGAAACGCTGGTACATCCTCTGTCTCTTGTCTTCCCTTCCATTCATCTCTCTTCCCGTCTTCCTCCCTTCCGTCATCCCTCATCAATCTTAGTTTCCCGGCATACGAGCATGTTGGTTGAAAATTGAAGTATTTCAAGCCCGCCTAGGCTCAGCGGCTGTCAACAGGAGTCACTTTGCCTTCGGAGCGCCGGTGAACCGTCTTGCGCGGCGGAGGCTGCCAGGCAGCCCGGCCCGTGCCCCGGGGGCCGGGCCCGGGCTGCCGGGCGGGCGGGCGGGCGGGTGGGCAGCCGCCGGGCAGTGCTGAGCCTGTACGCCCGCCGGCGCCGGCCCCTGCCACTGTGATCAGTTAACTTAAATCGGAAATAGTAACTTGAAGTCATGATGATCGCCGGAGTCGGCGGCCCCGGATGGAGTCAAAGCTCAGCCGCTAGCCCGGGCCCGCTAGCCCGGGCCCGCTAGCCCGGCGCCATTGCAATGAGTTAAGTGAAGGTATCAGTTAAATTTGGGGGACAGTAGTTGGCATGCTGGGTTCACTGAGTGGCTCTCCGAGCTGTCCGGCGCCGGACTCGCGTCGGCGAGGCTTTTCTTTTGGAGTCGGTTTCGCCTCACTGAGGCCGGGAATGAACTGAGGCCCTGTGCGACCGCCGGGACAAGTACGAACGAGGGTGCGGCACGAGGGGTCCTTGAACAGGTACAAGAGGGGGTGGGGCACGAGGGGTCGGACGGTCCGTCATGTCCGGGTCTGTCCGAAGGCTCATCATCGGATATGCCTGCCTCTAAGACCGTCGCACAAGGAGATAGAAACGTGACACCACTGACCACCCTCCTCTTACTGGGATATTGGACCCCTCCCTGATAGATCGTCCGCATCTGGCTGGCCGGCTACTCGAGTTGATTCGGCGGGCCAGGCCGTTCAACGGTTCTCAAGGTCTTAAGGTAACGTGACTACCGGGTCTCAGCAAGTTGACGCTGTGATAGTCCATGACATACTGTAGTACCATCCTACCCCCTTTTCATACCGAGTCACCACCCCACCGCTGGCAAGGGAATTTGACCCCGTATCTTTACTACAGACATGTCGTTGTCTCCGAGACTCCGAGCTACCGGCAAATCCTGCGATTCTTTGATCTCTTTACTCAAAGTTAAGTTAAAATCAGTACGAGGACGATGAGTATTGGTACATAATCAAAGGGGTATGCATTGAATAAGGAACGATGGCAGCACCGTGTACCCGAGCTAGCGTTTGACTGTCTACACGAATCGATGCAAGGTGAAACCTGCATGGGACGATATGTTGTCAGCAGCCTTCTAATAATCCCTCGTCTTCCCGTCTCCCTCCTAGATATCCACCCTCCATCGCCATCGCCTCGACCAGCCCTCTGTTTCGTCGCTTCGCACTCGCTCTCAAACCTGTCAGTTATCAGCATGAATCAAGACCGTATGGAACATCTTTCAGATCAATCTACCTCCTCCAAACCTTCTCAGAAACCGCCCTCTAGTATGCAGCACAAGATCGTCGTCGTCAAGGCTAGACGCTACTGCACACTTCGTTGCAAGCCTCGCACGCTGGATCTCAGCATGGAGACCATGTCCTCCTACTTTCACATGCCCCTCGATGAGGCGGCGAAGAAGCTGGTGAGTCAACTGATACTAGCGCATGCTATTTTTCTTGACTCAAGGCACAGGGGATCGCTTCTACCACGCTCAAGCTCATCTGCCGCAAGCTTGGAGTTCCTCGATGGCCCTACCGAAACGTTCAGAAGGAGCAGAGACGATCCTTGGATCATTCGATTGGCGTTCAACCTTCCTTCATGTCGACTAGCTCGTTGCCGGATAGAGGAACGGCAGTTGAGGACAAAAGGGGAGTGGCGGCCGGAGCAGTGTGTTTGATGGAAAGAGGGAGAGAGGAGTGGAGACGGGTGCGTGAGCTTCTCGGGGCTGAAGCACTTTTTGAGGAGGCGATGGAGCATGTGGGAGGGCGGGGGAGGTCAGGAAGGTAGGGGTGAAAGGAATGGATGGGGCAAGGAGGAAGAGTGATTTCGCGGATTGTGTTAATAGCTGTGAGTTCGACAAACAAGAGAATAAACGATCAATACCTGCAAGTCATAACAGCAGACGTACAATCGAGAACTCACTATAACATCAGCTCGTGGGTTCAAAAGGGCTCCGGGAGTCTCATAGCAAACATTTAATTCATGTTCTGTATTGTTGTGATCAGCGTTGTTCCAGTGAGCGCAAGATTAATTCCTTTTGATCAACTTTTGGCATTAGGATGGTGGTTGAAATTATGAGTTAGGCACGTGAGTTTCCGTATGCAAGAAATATGACAGTGAGTCTTTCTCATTGTCAAAACTTTGCGCACTTGAAACGAGCTCAGCCTGAGAATCTTTCTAGCCCGAGAAACTTCGATTTGAAGAAGCTGAACTTGCCAAGTGGCTTAAACTTGACAAGCGGCCTGAGAACATCAAGTACCGTGCCGTTGCCAACCCGACGGTTGCCAACTTCGGTTGAGAATGACAATGGCCGACAGTGAGCCGCCGCGGCGCTGCCGGGCCCGGGCCCGCCGGGCCCGGCGGGCCGCCTTGAAGGCCGTCCGACGGTCCGTGCGCTTGACTCACTGAGTTAGTGGCGACTCGAAGTTCGGGCTCATTTGGCATGATCATCGGATCGCCGGAGTAAATAAGTGCCAGCCGGAGCCTCGGTCCGGCCCGGGCCGTACGGAGTACAGTACCGTGCCCGGCCCGCCGGCGGGCCGGCCGCGTGACTCGTTGACCCCGGGCCCGGGGGCCGCCGGGGCGGCGGGGGGCACTGAGTCTCAGCGTAACGGCGGAGGCTACCCCCAGCGACCGTACCACTGTGACTTTACTCATCAAAGTTAGTTAACCAACTGATAGTACACTCAGTGGCACGGGCCGTCATTTTAAGTTACCCGGAGTCCTCCGCCGCGACTGACTCAGTGAGGCTCCGGCGTAGGCTAGCGGCCACCGTCTCCGAGTCGCCCGGAGCCCGGGGCCCGTCCCGGACTCGCCGCCCGGGCCCGGATGTGCCCGGCCGCCGCCGGCCCGGCGAAACTGTCAGACGAACTAGAGCAGGCCCGCCGAGGTGAGGACTCACTCAGACCCACAAACAACTTGACCGATTGGACCACAAGAGCAATTTCCACTTGGATCTTCCTGGTACTACCCCCTACCCCCTGCTTGTCCCCAGGAACGCTCCTTCGTTCTCCTTATTCTCTTGTCTATGCATACCGGTGGATCTATCGTCTCTCGCTGCCTGCAAAAATACCCTACCTCCTTACCTTGCCTCAATCAACTACCTACCTCCCGTCTCTTCATACCCCCCACCCCTACATATCTCTCTCCCCACCCCTCTAGACCCACCATTTCTTACCTACAGTTTCCCTTGGTATATCCCCCAACCTGCTTCCCGCTCCAAGCAAACCCCCTGCTCGAGCTCCCTCCCTCTACATCTCCCTCCCTTCCCTATCTTCGGCTCTTCTTCAATCAAGATCTTCATAGCTCTCCTACTTGCATTTGCGATCAGAAAGCCTCTTCCTCCTCCATGTCTGCTCCGAGCAGCTCCGAAACTCTGGCTGTGATGCCAATGAAACGGAAGTACGAGTTCCTGCAGGAGGTCTGCAGCGAGGATGCTGCGAGGTACCTGATCCTTGCATGTGCTGGTATGAGAAGCTCACTGACGCGTGCTCGCAGCATATGGGATCAGACGTGCGGAGACTCTGGTAAGATGACAGACCTCCTCAGCCAGCGCTTTGTGGACTGCAACACATGCTCCTCCCAGCAGCATATCGACGACGACGAGGAGAAGGAGGAGGAGTCAGGCCGCGAGTACTTCTGCGTGATCTGCCAGGAGACAGACTTTGACATGAGCAACAAGGTGAGCTTGACCTGCCGTCACATGTTCCATGCCTCTTGCTTCAAGAGGCTGCTTGAGCACGTCCTCCATGACGAGCAAGAGTCCCTGGTGCCCCCTACCTGCCCTCATCCCGGATGCAGCACCATAGTCGGCTACAACATCCAAGCTCTGCTCCTCATCTACGCTGACGATGAGCAAGCGCAGCGTCTGCTCAAGGCTCACGATAGCAAGAAGAGCAAGTACGACGCTTGGAAGTTGGGTCACCTGCCCTGCTTGTCCCCTTGCTGCCAGGCCGTCTCGAGGCTGGTGTTGATTGGACATGCGGCGAGCGAGGCTACGGTCAAGTGCGACAGCTGCATGGCCACCTACTGCGCTGCTTGCTCGATGGCGTCCGGAAGCTTGGTTCCCTCCCACATTCTCGTCGGCTGCGAGCAGCGAGTCCTGACTGAGGAGGGGTTGCGAGCTCTCGATCAGGTGTACGATGCGACGGGTGATGAGCTGAGACGAATGAGACTGCGCGACCCTCCCGCAGCGCTCAGACGGTACCCTCGCCCGCCGCCCGCCGCCCGCGACCCTCGCCCGCCCACAGTTGACGGCAGTCAAACGCATGTGGCGGCAGCAGACACGAGGACGCAGGAGGTCGAGGCGCAAGGGACCGAGCAGGAAGACAGAGGCGCTGAAGCCCAGCAAGACCCCCGGCTGCGAGCACGACTACTTTGGATGGATCTGTACAGGGGGGAAGACCGACTGGAGGGCGAGGAACGCCTTGAGCTCCATGAACACGTGCGCTGGAGGATGAGGAGATTTGAGGAGGAAGGCGACTACGTGGACGAGGAGCTGCAGCAGACTATGCAAGGCATGCGAGACCGGCTCAGCAGCATCAAGAGGAGGGAGGAGCTAGAGATCTCCGCCATTTCCCGGCAGCTCCATGCTCGTCCTGCCGACAAGGTCGCCGTCGAACTGCTCGATGCGCGTCTGCGGATCGTCGAGCAGAAGCGTGAGCTGTTCGAGAGCACGCGACAGACGCTCGAGGGCATGATCCGCAACCCGGCGGTAGAGGACCCGCAGCACCGTGCTCCGCCGGAGGCGACGACGTCGCTGAGCCTTCAAGACATCCACAGCATGTGCGATAAAGCTTTTCTCACCTCCCTGAAGGCGAGGATTAGCAGGATCGCCAGCGGCGAAGAGCGCGAGGAGGCCCGAGCAGAGGCTCGCAGTGACCAGGAGGAGATCGCAAGGACCTCCAAGCCCTGCACCAAGTGCGGGTACCGCATCGTCAAGATGGGAGGATGCGACCACATGACGTGCAGGAAGTGCCGGCACGAGTTCTGCTGGAGGTGCCTCAAACCAACGATCGACCACTTCCACAGCAGCTGTCAGGGGAAGCCAGACCTGCTGTCGTTCTCTGAGGAGCTACAGCCTGCCATCAAGGACGTCATCGACAAGTACCGCGGAGTCGAGTCGCCTATCGAGAGCAGCCTAGTCGAGTACGCGCACAGGCACTTGGCTCCCGGCCAGCCTGTCGACGAGGACAGGAAGAGAGCGGACTCGCAGCGGATCTCCGCAATGCTGGAGCGGCGCGAGCCCTTCATGCTCAGATACTTCGACCCCCGCGAGGTCAGACGCAGAGCGGAGATGAGGAGACTGCAGGATATGCAGCGGGAGGTTGAGCAAGAGAGGATCGCCTGCTCCTTTGTGCTCCGTCAAGTCCGCGACAGCAGTCGCAGCCCCGTCAGCAAGGACGCAGCCCTCCGAGTCTGCTCGGACCCCTCCAAGCAGTACCTCAAGTACCGGGCCGCCAAGCGCAGCCTCTTGGACGCGCAGGAGAAGATGAGGAGGGAGACACGTGAAGCCCCGGCTGACTACGTCGAGCGTCAGCGCCGCATGATCGACTGTCAGTGCCACGTCATCGACGTGGATCTTGCTCGCCTGGAGATGCAGAAGCAAGCTTGCGTCCTCATGGGCATGGACGTGCCTCCCTGGCTCCTGTCATGCTCCGAGCGGCTCTCGGATGCCAAGGAGCAGCAGGCGCAAGACATCAGCCAGGCTGTCTGCACCAGGACCTTTCTGGACGCTCATCGAGACTACATGCTCTCGAGGATGAGCCAACGAGTAGAGCCGAGAGTCCTAGAATGGTGACCGTCGGACCGAGCGACAAGGCAGCGAGACTAGGAGAGCAGCAGAGCTCTGCAGGACTTTGAGGACGAGCGGTCAGGGACAGTAGTACCCCGAGCCTGCAAGGTTGGAAGTCATCTTTGAGCTCTTAACGTGACTGCGCTACTCAATACATAGAGAAACAAGTTGAATGAGGCCTGAGGGGAGGGGCCGCTGACTCTAATCAGCCATCATGGCAGCAGCGAACTGACACAGTCTGAGCCATCTGAGCCTGAAGAGAAACTAACAAGGATCCCCCTAGTGACGGCGAGTGAAGCGGGAAGACTCAGAGGCTCAAGCAGAGACTCATGATTGTCGGAGCCACGGTTGAGGCGGCGGGGGGCGGGCGCGCGGTCCGGGGATCGGACTTTGGCACCGTACTGTACTACGGTACCCAGTGACGGTACGGTAGCCAGTGCGGCGGAGTCCCGGGGGCGGCCTGCCCGCCGCGGCCCGGGGAGTTGCCCAGCCGGGCCGGTGACCGGCGTCACAGTCACTACGCCGCCGGGCCCCGGCGGCGTACAATAGTCCCTCCTAGGCTCCAGCGGTCGCCGTTTCTTAAGTTACTATACTCAAAGTTAAGTTAATCATTGGCATCAGTACGATAATGTTGATTATGCGAAGAACCATTCCGAGGCTCCCGCGCAATGCCAGCGATGTCCGGTGATCGCTGTGCCAGGCGAGCCGACGAGTCAGAGCGGGCGGCGGCCCGGCCCGGGAACTTGAACCGTCAAGGTCCGTACGGCGTCCGGTCACCGTCCGACTTCGCGGCCGGCCGGGTTCCGGGCCGGGGGGATCTTCGGAACTTAGTTCGGCGCCGGGGCCCGGGCCGTCCCGGACTCAGGGCCCGGATTCATGTTGCGGGCGCCCTCGGACACTCAAGTGACTATCAGCCTTAAACTTGAGTAAAGGATCCGAGACGGTGGTGGGTTTAGTTAGGGTTTAAGTTCAGTCCCACAAACAACTTGACCACAAGAGCAAGTTCCACTTGGATCTTCCTGGTACTACCCCCTACCCCCTACTTGTCCCCAGGATCGCTGCTTCGTTCTCCTTATTCTCTTGCCTATATATACCTGTGGAAACATCACCTTGCGCTGACTGCAAAAATACCCTACCTCCTTACCTTGCCTCAATCAACTACCTACCTCCCGTCTCTTCATACCCCCCACCCCTACATATCTCTCTCCCCACCCCTCTAGACCCACCATTTCTTACCTACAGTTTCCCTTGGTATATCCGATCCCAACCTGCTTCCCGCTCCAAGCAAACCCCCTGCTCGAGCTCCCTCCCTCTACATCTCCCTCCCTTCCCTATCTTCGGCTCTTCTTCAATCAAGATCTTCATAGCTCTCCTACTTGCATTTGCGATCAGAAAGCCTCTTCCTCCTCCATGTCTGCTCCGAGCAGCTCCGAAACTCTGGCTGTGATGCCAATGAAACGGAAGTACGAGTTCCTGCAGGAGGTCTGCAGCGAGGATGCTGCGAGGTACCTAATCCTTGCATGTGCTGGTATGAGAAGCTCACTGACGCGCGCTCGCAGCATATGGGATCAGACGTGCGGAGACTCTGGTAAGATGACAGACCTCCTCAGCCAGCGCTTTGTGGACTGCAACACATGCTCCTCTCAGCAGCATATCGACGACGACGACGAGGACGAGGAGGAGGAGTCAGGCCGCGAGTACTTCTGCGTGATCTGCCAGGAGACAGACTTTGACATGAGCAACAAGGTGAGCTTGACCTGCCGTCACATGTTCCATGCCTCTTGCTTCAAGAGGCTGCTGGAGCACGTCCTCCATGACGAGCAAGAGTCCCTGGTGCCCCCTACCTGCCCTCATCCCGGATGCAGCACCATAGTCGGCTACAACATCCAAGCTCTGCTCCTCATCTACGCTGACGATGAGCAAGCGCAGAGTCTGCTCAAGGCTTACGATAGCAAGAAGAGCAAGTACGACTCTTGGAAGTTGGGTCACCTGCCCTGCTTGTCCCCTTGCTGCCAGGCCGTCTCGAGGCTGGTGTTGATTGGACATGCGGCGAGCGAGGCTACGGTCAAGTGCGACAGCTGCATGGCCACCTACTGCGCTGCTTGCTCGATGGCGTCCGGAAGCTTGGTTCCCTCCCACATTCTCGTCGACTGCGAGCAGCGAGTCCTGACTGAGGAGGGGTTGCGAGCTCTCGATCAGGTGTACGATGCGACGGGTGATGAGCTGAGACGAATGAGACTGCGCGACCCTCCCGCAGCGCTCAGACGGTACCCTCGTCCGCCGCCCGCCGCCCGCGACCATCGCCCGCCCACAGTTGACGGCAGTCAAACGCATGTGGCAGCAGCAGACACGAGTACGCAGGAGGTCGAGGCGCAAGGGACCGAAGCAGGCAAACAGAGGCGGCTGAAGCCCAAACAAAGACCCCCGGCTCAGAGCACGATACTTTGGATGAATCTGTTACAGGGGGGGAAGACCGACTGGAGGGCGAGGAACGCCCTTGAGCTCCATGAACACGTGCGCTGGAGGATGAGGGAGATTTGAGGAGGAAGGCGACTACGTGGACGAGGAGCTGCAGCAGACTATGCAAGGCATGCGAGACCGGCTCAGCAGCATCAAGAGGAGGGGAGGAGCTAGAGATCTCCCGCCATTTCCCGGCAGCTCCATGCTCGTCCAGCCGACAAGGTCGCCGTCGAACTGCTCGATGCGCGTCTGCGGATCGTCGAGCAGAAGCGTGAGCTGTTCGACAGCACGCGACAGACGCTCGAGGGCATGGTCCGCAACCCGGCGGTAGAGGACCCGCAGCACCATGCTCCGCCGGAGGCGACGACGTCGCTGAGCCTTCAAGACATCCACAGCATGTGCGATAAAGCTTTTCTCACCTCCCTGAAGGCGAGGATTAGCAGGATCGCCAGCGGCGAAGAGCGCGAGGAGGCCCGAGCAGAGGCTCGCAGTGACCAGGAGGAGATCGCAAGGACCTCCAAGCCCTGCACCAAGTGCGGGTACCGCATCGTCAAGATGGGAGGATGCGACCACATGACGTGCAGGAAGTGCCGGCACGAGTTCTGCTGGAGGTGCCTCAAACCAACGATCGACCACTTCCACAGCAGCTGTCAGGGGAAGCCAGACCTGCTGTCGTTCTCTGAGGAGCTACAGCCTGCCATCAAGGACGTCATCGACAAGTACCGCGGAGTCGAGTCGCCTATCGAGAGCAGCCTAGTCGAGTACGCGCACAGGCACTTGGCTCCCGGCCAGCCTGTCGACGAGGACAGGAAGAGAGCGGACTCGCAGCGGATCTCCGCAATGCTGGAGCGGCGCGAGCCCTTCATGCTCAGATACTTCGACCCCCGCGAGGTCAGACGCAGAGCGGAGATGAGGAGACTGCAGGGATATGCAGCGGGAGGTGAGCAAGAGAGGATCGCCTGCTCCTTTGTGCTCCGTCAAGTCCGCGACAGCAGTCGCAGCCCCATCAGCAAGGACGCAGCCCTCCGAGTCTGCTCGGACCCCTCCAAGCAGTACCTCAAGTACCGGGCCGCCAAGCGCAGCCTCTTGGACGCGCAGGAGAAGATGAGGAGGGAGACACGTGAAGCCCCGGCTGACTACGTCGAGCGTCAGCGCCGCATGATCGACTGTCAGTGCCACGTCATCGACGTGGATCTTGCTCGCCTGGAGATGCAGAAGCAAGCTTGCGTCCTCATGGGCATGGACGTGCCTCCCTGGCTCCTGTCATGCTCCGAGCGGCTCTCAGATGCCAAGGAGCAGCAGGCGCAAGACATCAGCCAGGCTGTCTGCACCAGGACCTTTCTGGACGCTCATCGAGACTACATGCTCTCGAGGATGAGCCAACGTGTAGAGCCGAGAGTCCTAGAATGGTGACCGTCGGACCGAGCGACAAGGCAGCGAGACTAGGAGAGCAGCAGAGCTCTGCAGGACTTTGAGGACGAGCGGTCAGGGACAGTAGTACCCCGAGCCTGCAAGGTTGGAAGTCATCTTTTGAGCCCTTAACGTGACTGCGCTACTCAATACATAGAGAAACAAGTTGAATGAGGCCTGAGGGGAGGGGCCGCTGACTCTATTCAGCCATCATGGCAGCAGCGAACTGAAAGAGTCTGAGCCGTCTGAGCCTGAAGAGAAACTAACAAGGATCCCCCTAGTGACGGCGAGTGAAGCGGGAAGACTCAGAGGCTCAAGCAGAGACTCATGATTGTCGGAGCCACGGTTGAGGCGGCGGGGGGGCGCGCGGTCCGGGGATCGGACTTTGGCACCGTACTGTACTACGGTACCCAGTGACGGTACGGTAGCCAGTGCGGCGGAGTCCCGGGGGCGGCCTGCCCGCCGCGGCCCGGGGAGTTGCCCAGCCGGGCGGCCCGGCGCCGCCTGTGCCGGTGCCGGGCCGGTGACCGGCGTCACAGTCACTACGCCGCCGGGCCCCGGCGGCGTACAATAGTCCCTCCTAGGCTCCAGCGGTCGCCGTTTCTTAAGTTACTATACTCAAAGTTAAGTTAATCAGCAGTACGATAATGTTGATTATGCGCAGAACCATTCTCCCGCGCAATGCCAGCGATGTCCAGTGATCGCTGTGCCAGGCGGGCCGACGAGTCAGAGCGGGCGGCGGCCCGGCCCGGGAACTTGAACCGTCACTGAGTCAAGGTCCGTACCGTCTGGTCACCGTCCGCCGTCGGCGGCCGGCCGGGTTCCGGGCCGGGGGGATCTTCGGAACTTAGTTCGGCGCCGGGGCCCGGGCCGTCCCGGACTCAGGGCCCGGATTCATGTTGCGGGCGCCCTCGGACACTCAAGTGACTATCAGCCTTAAACTTCAGTAAAGGATCCGAGACGGTGGTGGGTTTAGTTAGGGTTTAAGTTCAGTCCCACAAACAACTTTGAGACTCGGCTGGAAGGCAAGAGCGAGTTCCACTTGGATCTTCCTGGTACTACCCCCTACCCCCTACTTGTCCCCAGGATCGCTGCTTAGTTCTCCTTATTCTCTTGCCTATACTGGTTGATCTATCTCCTTGCGCTGAGTGCAAAAACACCCTACCTCCTTACCTTGCCTCAATCAACTACCTACCTCCCGTCTCTTCATACCCCCCACCCCTACATATCTCTCTCCCCACCCCTCTAGACCCACCATTTCTTACCTACAGATTCCCTCCTTCCTTGGTATATCCCCCAACCTGCTTCCCGCTCCAAGCAAACCCCCTGCTCGAGCTCCCTCCCTCTACATCTCCCTCCCTTCCCTATCTTCAGCTCTTCTTCAATCAAGGTCTTCATAGCTCTCCTACTTGCATTTGCGATCAAAAAGCCTCTTCCTCCTCCATGTCTGCTCCGAGCAGCTCCGAAACTCTGGCTGTGATGCCAATGAAACGGAAGTACGAGTTCCTGCAGGAGGTCTGCAGCGAGGATGCTGCGAGGTACCTGATCCTTGCATGTGCTGGTATGAGAAGCTCACTGACGCGTGCTCGCAGCATATGGGATCAGACGTGCGGAGACTCTGGTAAGATGACAGACCTCCTCAGCCAGCGCTTTGTGGACTGCAACACATGCTCCTCCCAGCAGCATATCGACGACGACGACGACGAGGACGAGGAGGAGGAGTCAGGCCGCGAGTACTTCTGCGTGATCTGCCAGGAGACAGACTTTGACATGAGCAACAAGGTGAGCTTGACCTGCCGTCACATGTTCCATGCCTCTTGCTTCAAGAGGCTGCTTGAGCACGTCCTCCATGACGAGCAAGAGTCCCTGGTGCCCCCTACCTGCCCTCATGCCGGATGCAGCACCATAGTCGGCTACAACATCCAAGCTCTGCTCCTCATCTACGCTGACGATGAGCAAGCGCAGCGTCTGCTCAAGGCTCACGATAGCAAGAAGAGCAAGTACGACGCTTGGAAGTTGGGTCACCTGCCCTGCTTGTCCCCTTGCTGCCAGGCCGTCTCGAGGCTGGTGTTGATTGGACATGCGGCGAGCGAGGCTACGGTCAAGTGCGACAGCTGCATGGCCACCTACTGCGCTGCTTGCTCGATGGCGTCCGGAAGCTTGGTTCCCTCCCACATTCTCGTCGGCTGCGAGCAGCGAGTCCTGACTGAGGAGGGGTTGCGAGCTCTCGATCAGGTGTACGATGCGACGGGTGATGAGCTGAGACGAATGAGACTGCGCGACCCTCCCGCAGCGCTCAGACGGTACCCTCGCCCGCCGCCCGCCGCCCGCGACCCTCGCCCGCCCACAGTTGACGGCAGTCAAACGCATGTGGCGGCAGCAGACACGAGGACGCAGGAGGTCGAGGCGCAAGGGACCGAGCAGGCAAACAGAGGCGCTGAAGCCCAGCAAGACCCCCGGCTGCGAGCACGACTACTTTGGATGGATCTGTACAGGGGGGAAGACCGACTGGAGGGCGAGGAACGCCTTGAGCTCCATGAACACGTGCGCTGGAGGATGAGGAGATTTGAGGAGGAAGGCGACTACGTGGACGAGGAGCTGCAGCAGACTATGCAAGGCATGCGAGACCGGCTCAGCAGCATCAAGAGGAGGGAGGAGCTAGAGATCTCCGCCATTTCCCGGCAGCTCCATGCTCGTCCTGCCGACAAGGTCGCCGTCGAACTGCTCGATGCGCGTCTGCGGATCGTCGAGCAGAAGCGAGAGCTGTTCGAGAGCACGCGACAGACGCTCGAGGGCATGATCCGCAACCCGGCGGTAGAGGACCCGCAGCACCGTGCTCCGCCGGAGGCGACGACGTCGCTGAGCCTTCAAGACATCCACAGCATGTGCGATAAAGCTTTTCTCACCTCCCTGAAGGCGAGGATTAGCAGGATCGCCAGCGGCGAAGAGCGCGAGGAGGCCCGAGCAGAGGCTCCCAGTGACCAGGAGGAGATCGCAAGGACCTCCAAGCCCTGCACCAAGTGCGGGTATCGCATCGTCAAGATGGGAGGATGCGACCACATGACGTGCAGGAAGTGCCGGCACGAGTTCTGCTGGAGGTGCCTCAAACCAACGATCGACCACTTCCACAGCAGCTGTCAGGGGAAGCCAGACCTGCTGTCGTTCTCTGAGGAGCTACAGCCTGCCATCAAGGACGTCATCGACAAGTACCGCGGAGTCGAGTCGCCTATCGAGAGCAGCCTAGTCGAGTACGCGCACAGGCACTTGGCTCCCGGCCAGCCTGTCGACGAGGACAGGAAGAGAGCGGACTCGCAGCGGATCTCCGCAATGCTGGAGCGGCGCGAGCCCTTCATGCTCAGATACTTCGACCCCCGCGAGGTCAGACGCAGAGCGGAGATGAGGAGACTGCAGGATATGCAGCGGGAGGTTGAGCAAGAGAGGATCGCCTGCTCCTTTGTGCTCCGTCAAGTCCGCGACAGCAGTCGCAGCCCCATCAGCAAGGACGCAGCCCTCCGAGTCTGCTCGGACCCCTCCAAGCAGTACCTCAAGTACCGGGCCGCCAAGCGCAGCCTCTTGGACGCGCAGGAGAAGATGAGGAGGGAGACACGTGAAGCCCCGGTTGACTACGTCGAGCGTCAGCGCCGCATGATCGACTGTCAGTGCCACGTCATCGACGTGGATCTTGCTCGCCTGGAGATGCAGAAGCAAGCTTGCGTCCTCATGGGCATGGACGTGCCTCCCTGGCTCCTGTCATGCTCCGAGCGGCTCTCAGATGCCAAGGAGCAGCAGGCGCAAGACATCAGCCAGGCTGTCTGCACCAGGACCTTTCTGGACGCTCATCGAGACTACATGCTCTCGAGGATGAGCCAACGTGTAGAGCCGAGAGTCCTAGAATGGTGACCGTCGGACCGAGCGACAAGGCAGCGAGACTAGGAGAGCAGCAGAGCTCTGCAGGACTTTGAGGACGAGCGGTCAGGGACAGTAGTGCCCCGAGCCTGCAAGGTTGGAAGTCATCTTTTGAGCTCTTAACGTGACTGCGCTACTCAATACATAGAGAAACAAGTTGAATGAGGCCTGAGGGGAGGGGCCGCTGACTCTATTCAGAAGTTCTATGTCTAAGGTCGAACTGAAAGAGTTTGAGC